GGTGGTGGTGGTGGACAGGGAGTGCCCACCCCTCTTTTCACCACTTTTCCTGTGTGTCTTCCGATTCCTCTGACTTCAGAATTTGTGTTTTAGACTTTTGTGGGTTTTTTTTTTTTGCTCTCTTTGTGGTCATGACCTGTGATTCTTCTACTAAAAAGACTCTAAATCTATTGAGCTAGCTTGTCCTCCTGTTGTGGCACATAGAAATTAGATCTATACTTGAATTTCCTTGAACGCACTGCCTACTTTGTAAGTGCTGTTCGTCTACAGGTTGTAGTATGATACTGCCTGGATTCGTTTCTATCTGCTGTAAATGGAAAAGCACAGATGATGAGCTACTACCTGATAATGAATGTGGAAAGTCTAGTGTTGACTTGATGGAAATTCAGAAACTCTGTGACGCTTTTGGGCACTAAAGCAAGTTTTCAAGCACCTACGTTTGTTTTCAGAGAATATTTTTGTTCTAAGATTTGAATTTATTACTCAAACAGGGGAATAAGTTAGAGACACAATGAGAACAGGACAATTTCACATTTTCTCCTAGTCTCCTCTTTGAAGTCTCTCTGTAAGACTTGCTTTCATATTTTAGCGCAAGTTCTGCTGAGCAGGAGTCAAGGTGTGAGTAAAACTACAGGATCCTTAATTTTCCACAGCCACGACCTAAGTGAAGTCTGTCTTGTTAAAACAAATAATATAGGGGTTCCTTGTGTTCACATGATGACAATCTTCCCTTGCATTTTAGTGGAATACTTTCACTAGAAAGAAAAATTTGAGGCAGTGTAATTGAATGGTCCCATTCTTTCAATATCTGCTTGATACTTGAGTAGCAGTCAGTACTTAAAAGCAAGTAACTTCTTCCCCTTTCTCTTTGGAAAAAGCCTGCAGAGGTTTGATAGCCTTTTCTGAGTATTAAATTTGTTTGCTCAAGATAATGACAAATTAAGGGACTATCTGAGGAACTGTTTTTGCCTGTTACAAAGTTATTTTTGCTTATTATTTTGTTTAACATTTTAAGTTGTTAAAACAAACCAACTGAGATGTTACCTAGGATTGTATTTGACACTTTTATTTTTCTAATCTGTCATGTGGAAAACACAATGGGGGGTATTCTTTTCCTCATTCCATTTATGAAACTGTGTTATTTCCCTACCATATAAAGTTATATTTATCTGATTAGGTAACATTCCAGACGACAGACCATGTCTGATACCACATTTGTGCAGATTGTCTTGAAAAGTAATGAGATTGCTAGAATATTTAGGATAGTTACCTCTGTAATTATGAAACTCTAAAAATGCTCACCTTCAAAAAAATAGATTATTAAATTTTGTTTTGAATTGTATCTGTCTCTGCTACACAAAAAATAACAACCTTGATGTTTTGCTTAGAACATGGATAAGAATAATAGAGCACTTTAAAATCCCTCCGCAAAATTTATTGACTGCAAAGACTGTAACCAACTTCAAATCAAAGGGTGGTTGTTTCTTACAGAAAAACCTCTTAAATCAGCGGGCAAATGATCATGTAGTTGCTCTAATAAGTATGAATTTCTGATTTGAATTTTGGCACAGATGTTTAAGCAGTGGTATAACACTAGAGTGATTGCTGTTGTAAGGAGTAGCATAAATGGTGCAGCTTTTCATTAATGAAAATACCTACTATTTCTATATTTTAGCTGTTAAGTGTATTTAAAATGTAGTTTAAGTGCTCCAAAGAGTGGCTGGGAGGATTTAAGGGGATGTGCCAGGTTTGACTGCCCCTTAAAAATGATTTAGGAGGGTTAATCCGTTGTCAACCAACTGTGTTCAATTGCTGTTGTCTAGGGGATGGTGATCTTAGAAGAATTCCCATTTCCAAAAGACATTTTGAAGAAGCAAATACAATTGACAGACCAAGAAGCTTTATTAAACGCCACAGGGAATTCGCAAGCTGCCGTTGAGAGACAGGATTCTTTGCCGGAGCATGACTTTGAAATGTCACCCAGCAGTCCTACCCTGCTTTTACGAAACATAGAAAAACAGGTAAAGTAAAATAAGAACTGAACGGTCAGTGGAGCCCAATGATTTACTTCAGAAATAGGGCAGGTTCCATGGTGATGGCTTCCAAAAAGGAAGATATTTCGCAGTGCTGAGAGTGAGTGCTGATGAATTGAAGGGCTTAAATAACTACATTGTACACCAGGTTTACAAATTAACCTTTTATTTCTGATGTGTCTGTGTTACCGCTTTGTTTCCATCAAAGCGGCCACATAACCACTCCTAATAGCTATCCACAAACCTGCCTCTCCTTCATAGTTAGGTTCAATGTAGACTTGCCACAGATGGTTTCAGGAAATACTTGTGTGAGATGAAAGAGTACAGCTGAAGATGGAGGTATGTTGCACTTGAAACAACAAAAAAAGCCCCAACACAATATAATTGTTGGTCTGCCTTTTCAGGCGTCACAGGACTCCAGTTAGGAGCTGAGGAATTCCAGGTACTTAACAGGCATAGCGTAGGCGTAGCTGTGAGCAGAGTTTTGGTTCATGGTGTTCAAAACAGTCATTTCCAAGGTTAATTCCAGGAAATACGATATAGACTCCAGCAGGGTTTTCTTTTGCTAGAAAGTACATAAAGAATGTGGTAGGATCACATTGCTGGAGGAGATACAGGAAATTTGTTTTCAAGATAAATTTATGCAGTTAGCGTGAAGCAAACCTGACAAAGGCAGTATGGTGCATTAATATGTTGCTCTGCTGCTTTACATAAATTCTTGGTCATACACGCGTTTTTAGACGGGGTAAAAGTAGCTTTAGGTGCTAATGCCTGTTCCTGAATCTCTGTGCCAATTTTTCTTATTTGATAGTCATACTTTCCTGTTCTTAAAATGCTTCCCCTGTTTGATAGATCTTATCCACAACAGACAGGAGTGAGGAAGCAATGAAACAGGAAATTTATATGCGCAGTGCTGGCAATTGCACAAGGTAAACCAATGAGCATTTTTGGAAGGTGGTGAATGTCCCCTCTTTAAGTTATTACTTGGAGAATTAAACGCACTTTTCAGTAAGACATTTGACAATTAAACTAATAGTAGTGTGTTTCCTGGTCCCTAAGTAGCTACAAACAGAGGTCCAAGAACTTTGATGATCTGGAAATTACTTGGAAGTAAAGGTGTTCTTCATTTAACGCATCTCATAGATTACATCAGATTTCTTCCCTTTACACCACAAAAAACTTTGGGGTTTGATTTGCTTTTTGGCTGTCAGTTCTGTAAATCAACCTTAACTCTGGAGGTCTGAGTTTCTTCTTGTTCAGTGTCAGGAGTAGCGATGCTGTAGGCTGAAGTACATCCACAGATATTCCCACAGAATTCTTCAGTCCTATGTTAAAGTATTTCTTTGTTAAAAGTAAATAATTTTACTTGTGAACAAAAAAAATTCATGAAGAATACAAAGTGACTGAGCCTGGCAATTTTTATTAATACTGTTTTCAAGTCCTTTTCATAGCTATGCTATGTTTTAAAAACATGTATGTTTTTCCTTGTGTTTTGGAAGTCTGCCATTGTTTTGGTGCTTTTATATTCAGTAGAGACTTCGCTCCTTACAGATTGAATTCTGTTGAGATTTTTAAATCAATCTGCTAAATATTTTACTGGCATCTTGTTTGCATTGTCCAGACCTTTTATAATTGACTTGCTATTTCTGTGCTTTGATATCCATCCCTGAATATTTTACTCTGACATGAAATTTTTATCCAACTGCATCACTTAAACATTAACAGGAAAGACATGAGTTGTAATAAAATGGAAAATAATTTTTTCTGCCTCTTTCTGCATAAATGGTAGTGCCTCAAAATGTAAAGAAAAACTTACTGGGTAACCTTTAGCCATTCTTGTTTTAAGCAATCTTAGTTCCGAATGAAAATCTTGCAAAATAATTTAAAAGTTTAAAAGAAATTGTATGCCATTTCAGATACATTTCATTTCTGTTTAGTGTGCAGCGCACAGTTTCCTCTAAGAAAGCTACGTTTATTGTCAGAATAACCAGAATAACCTTTAAGTTTTGACATTTAAAACAAAAAAAATCATTGTGAAATGTTATCTGGAGTCAGTCCACAACTCATTGCTTTATAAGGTGTAATTTTTAGTCTTAACAAATCAGATGCATTTGTTTTGGGGCAGTTCTGAAAGTCCGGATTTTGGTGGGGTGGGGGCTTCTTGTTGCTATTTTTGAGGATACCAGAAGATTTTAGCCATTCCGTCTGTAGTTACAATAGTCCTCCTGTAGTTACACTTCATTTTGTAAAAACACCTTTGTCAAACTATAGTGACCAATGAACAGAATTCTTTTAACAGGAAAAATACTTTGAGTGAACAAAACAACGAGTAGACAGCAGACTTTTTCTTTTTCCCTGTTGAAATGCTTGTTGAATGGCCAGTTAGCAGCTCTGGGCTGCAGCTGTTGTAACATCAGCTGTAAAGTGTTGTGGTTTCTTTTGCCTCTTTAAAAACCTTTGTTTAAAACACTAAAATCACTAATGTGTTTTGCGTACTACTTATTCAAGTGTATAAACAATGTCCTTGGCTGGTTGTTCAGGGTTGTGTTGGGTTTTTGTGTTTGGTTGTTTTTTGGGTTTTTTTGGTATAGTTGAACATAATAATTGTGAAAGAAAAAACATGCCACTCTTGATTATTCACAAGAAGAAACTAAATACATTATTCCATGATGTATGCAACTGGAATCCTGAGTAGGAAAACAAGAAAAACCCAGGACCTTTGAGCTGTTGAATCTGTATAAAAGTCTGACTACCTTTTTTTAATTTTATTTTATCTTTTTTTCCAGAGCGCGCAATTGAGTGAAATCATCAGCAGCCTAATTGCTCCACTCAATCTGTCTCCAGCTTCTTCATCTCTTTCGTCCAAGACCTGTAGGCACAGGCAGCTGGTCAATGGCATCTCCTTCAGGTAGGTGACAGTACACTAGCATTTATTTTGAAAATAACTTTTGGTAAAGTTATGTAGATGGAACCGGTAACATTACGGTAGTATATCAGGAAAAGAGCTGCTTTCTGCAAGCTTCAAGAGAAGTCAAGTCTTGCTTGTAACGTTGAAAGTAGTAGGCTTTTGTATTGTTCTTAAAGACATCATAAAATTATGCAGTCACTGTAAGTACGTTTAGGTACTGGGAAGATGAATATATCTGTGAAGTAGTGAAAGGATACAGTAAATAACACACTACTATTGATTGTTTCAGACTGGCATTCTGTCATCATGAGTACAACTTTATTTCTGGAAAAGCGACAAACTAGACTTTACTAGATTAGTAGAATACATAAGCAATGTCACCTGTGCCTTAGCATGGGTCAGTGTTAGTTTTTTGTGGCAGCTTCATTAATTTTAAGCACATCAGTCTTCAATACAAGGCCAAATTTCTCTCTGCCAGCTACTTTTTCAGGAATTTGGAGATAATGTTTTCCCATTTGTGGTCTTTTGTTCTCAATGGATATACCTTCCAAGGGGCAGCTCGAAATTAATATTGTAGAAAAATGTTTCTCAGTACTACTCCATACTTCTTAGTAATTCCATCTTTTATTCAAAGATTTTAAAATATAGTACAGACTGTAATCAGTATTAGTCTCAAAACAGCATTAAGGTAATTGACTACAGTCCTGTCTTACAAAAGACCTAGGTATGTAGAATATTTCTCCTGAGATACTGGTAATGTGATTTTTGAGGATGGAGGGGTTGCTGTTATTCATAGGTCTTAATTAAGATCAGGTGGATGAAGAAAGTGTTCCCTCCTAGAGCTGGGGGGGTTTATGGCAGTGTCTGCAGCAGAACGTAATTCCCTGGCTCCCAGCTCCAAGAAGAGCTGGCCATGCCGTCTGTTTCAGCAGCTTTGCTGCAGAGGCTGTAGCCTCCCGCAAAGAGATTATAATGAGCAGCTTGGATGGGCAGCTTCTTTAACTGCCGTCTGTTCCAAAGCAATTGTGTGCCCTAAATTGAAGGATGAAGGGGTGCTGTCACGTAGCATTCATGCTCCTGACCTATCAGTTGTTTACAAATAACGTAGGGGAAAATCAGAAGATTCCTCTGAGTTTTGGAATAAAAATAGCCCTGAAATAGGAGTTGCTAATAGAGGTGGGTACGTGGAAGAAGAGAGTAATTTAGGCTGTTAGAAGGCTGTGTCTTGAATCTGTGACTTTTTCATGAAACAGATGAAGAAGGGCTCCTGCTTTTAAAAATGTTTTTAGGTGTGTATGAAGTTGACTTCATGATGAGGGACTCTAATGATGTAACTTCAAGCCACTTCTCTTCTGATTTGTCAGACACTGTCCAAAATCAGTCCTCTTTCCATTTTATGAGAACACAGTTGTTGCTCATGGAGCACTCTCTCTAAAGCTGGTTGTTTTCTACTCATGACCTACAAAAGCCCAAAGAAAAATGGGAAGACTTGGAAGATTTTCTCAGTGGTGTAGCTCTAAACTGGAGTTGGTGAGTTAGGTGTTGGAAGGGAATCTGAGAGACTTGAGACCTTTCTAGATGTCATCCTAAAAATCAGTTAAATAGTTAATTTTAATTTTTCGCTTCTTGTGAAGCATTTTGAAATCTGCAAATAACTACTGTTCATTAAAGATGGTAATTAAGCACTATATAGAGTTATCATGAGAATCCTGCAGGGAAATTCACTGCCTCCTACTTCTTGGTTTTTTGAGTGTGTTTCAGTTTTTTGTTGTATTTTGTTGTTGTGGTGTTTTTGTGTGCAATTAATTGAGACAGTTACGTACTACAGTTAACTTCATTTCCTGGCTACTTCTCCCCTCACTCTTTCTAGAGCTCACTCTGACTGTATTAAGTACTTGAGAAAGTAGAAATCAAAATCAAATGGAAAGTAAGGTGATTTTCTGTTTTTGAAGAGGAAAAAAAAGGGATGATAGTGATTTTTACTTAAGTAAATTCTTGAACTTAGTTGTAGGCTCATGATGTGAAATCATGGCCTTGAGTTGCGCCAAGGGAGGTTTAGATTGGATATTAGGAAAAATTTCATTACTGAAAGAGTGGTCAAGCATTGGCACAAGGTGCCCATGGAAGTGTTTGAGTCACCATCCCTGAAAGTATTTAAAAGACGTGTAGATGTGGCGCTTAGGGACGTGGTTTAGTGGGCATGGTGGTGTTGCATTGACGGTTGGACTTGATGATCTTAGAGGTCTTTTCCAACCTTCATGATTCTATGATTCTGTATAATAGTCTATGTTTAAAGTAGGTCTAAGCGTGAGATGCTTTGAGGTTGGTAATCATGGGGTTGCAGTACAGTTGGTTACTTGGGCTATACCCAGTGGAAGTGGTGGTGCATGTATGATTGCTGGTTGATGAAATGTGGGTAACCTTGAATTGCCGTTTGTCAAGGTCTAATTTCATTAGTGGCTTCCTTTTTCTATGTAGTTTTTCTTTGCTCAGTTGAATCTAGATGCCAAGATTAGCCAGATGCATTGAAGGTAAATGTTCATAGAAGCAGTTCCCTAAGCTAGTGATAACCACTTCCTTATCAGAAGAGAGGAATGAAAAAGTCCATTACTTCAGTACAAATAGAGCCTGTCTGATGGCTTGCTGTGCACGTGTGTATCTGTGAGTAAGATCTCTGCTCTTTAGCTAGGCTACAGTGCAAGAAAGGCCAACCTGTGAGATTTGAAAGGAGTGTTTCAGCACATTCGTGAATTTTATGTCTGGTGATGGTTCATCTCCGCTCTTCTGTAGAATCACATGTTGAGAAACACCCAAACTAACATCAAAATAAACGGATAACTCGAGCCTTGACTGGGAAGCCTATTTGCACAAGTGGCAGGAAAACCATACTGCTGTGTATTGGAGCTCCAAGCCACAGAGCTAAGATCTCTGCTTCATCTGAAAATGGAGCTGTGCATTACTGTAAGGCACAGGAGGGTAAATAGAGCAGCTGGCAGAGACTGAAGAGAGATTACCAAAGACTAGGGCAGACAACCAGAACAAAGGCAGGAATCACAGAAGTTGAAGAGTCAGACTGAGGAGCCTTTTGTTCTAATTTACCTGTCCAAGTTGTCTTTCATGTAAGAAGGAGGTATGTGGAAGTCCAGAAGTAGGGCTTGGCACCATCTGACTTCGAGGCAGATAATTACAGAGAAAATGTTCTTGAGAATTCAGAGGAAATATTTTAAGAAAACTTTTGCATGGACTTTAAACATTGTATTTCTTTCTCAAACCTTAAAAATTCAGTGTTAGCATTAAGAATATCTTGCTTCAGTATTTTGGGGCTTTTTCTTGGCACTTACTAATATGTTCCTTTAAATACATTGTACCATCCCTCTTTTAATTAGGGCATTTTTTTCATTGAGTCTGTGTTGCTCATTGGGATTGTTCTGATGTGTCAGAAGGACAGTTCAAATTCGAGCCCATAAAGCTTTATTACCACACCAGCACAGCATGGGATGGTGTTTAATCACACTTTCATAACAAGCACTTCTATTTAATAAAATGTACTGTTAGAAGAATACTGCATGTCAAAAAAGATTGATAAATGGCCCTGTAGTAAATTAATTTTCATGTTTTATTGTGTGTTATAACTTTGCTAATAAGGCTGTGACTTGCCAGATAAAGTTCATAAGAGAAAATAATCATTTGTGCAGATAGATGACCTCTTATAAACCAAGGCCAAAATATCTTGTATACTTGCACTTCTCAGGCAGTTTGGAGTTGCAGTCAAGGTCTTCAGTATTGTAAAAATAAATGCACACTTGAGTGCTTTTTGCAGCAAGCCTTCAGCTTTGCAGGCAGATGTTGCTACAGCAACGAAATAAGATCAGGATAGCTATAAAAGTGAAGTGCATTCTTCCCATTGAGTTATTCCCACCCAAATGGAGGGTGTTTTGAATTTTTATCTTGTAGTGTTCCCTGTTCTGGTGAGCAGACAGGCTGTAGATTGGTGAGAGTGATCCAAGGTTGTTACACATATACGTATAGGATTTTCTTCTGCTCTTGGCTCTGGTAGGTAAGGTTGTGGAGGGATGATGCTACAACATTGAGGGGGATTTGAAAGGGATAGACTTGGGGAAATGCAGGTAAGATTGAGATTTAAGATTAAAACGAAGCTTCCCATGTGTCTACATAGACCCTGTCACGTTGTGACTGGAGCTGAGCTTGCATTCTTCCGAATCATCTGTGTCTAACCAGCTTCTAGGTCTTAAAGACAGACAAACAGGCTAGGCTTTCCTTCCTCCCCGAGGCTGGGCTTGGGCTCTATTGGAGAGCTCTATTGGCGTGTCCCTGGAAGTGAAGTTTAATGGGCTTGTCTCGCTTAAACTAAGTGTGCAGAGTTCCTAATTTTGATACAAATGCTTCACAGTGAGTTGCAACCCCTATGCTGAGTGGATGCTGGTTTGTAAAGCTTTACTTAAGTTTCAGTTCTTGAGCAAAGCTAGAAAATCTCAAAAGTATTAGGGCAGGAGTCTAGGTCTCCTTCATGTTAGCACAACTGCTGTCTTGAATGGAATGTAAGTTTGTGGGGAAATATTAATTGTAACTTAAAACTCATAGGTGTTAGAAGTGTTAGAAAGAGAGTTCTTGAATTTGGAAAAACCAAAAACCGTTATATGCTTGAGGGCTTAACTTCATTTTGACATTTGTTTCCGTGAGCAGAAAAGTGAACAAGAACGATAAACTTCCTTTCGTGACCTAACGTAAAATTAATCAAAGAGCAAGCAAAGCACATACATGGTTTCCTGAAACAGTCTGATGAAACATTTAGTGTTTATAGAATTCTCTTAGAATTAGATTGCTAATGCTAATTGGTGTATGAAATCTTGGCCTGTGCCTGTGGAGCATATTTAACTTTGTATTTCCTCCCCCCGTTAATCATGAAATTGCAGAGCTTCAGACAACAGAGAGGTATCCTCTTCAAGCAGCTGGTTGCTTGATCATCAGCACATCAAGAAAAGAAGAAGAGACAGGACAAGACTAAGATCTCTCTCCGTGGCTAATGTGAGCACATCTGCCCGAACAAGGCCACTTCATAGTTTCCAGAAGAGGAAGCTCTACAGAATGCACGGTGCCTGTTACTGGAATCAGCAGGTAGGCCGTTGCCTCTCTCTTCAGGAGACAAAACCAAAGAGTCCAGCTGCTAGAGTCTGCATGTGTCTTGTCTGGTATGTCAGAAGAATAGCGCATGCTGTGCTGGTTATTTGTTACGTTCAGGGAGCACACAGTATACGTGGCAGAAGTACTAGCTGTGTCAGCAGGAGCTCAGAGTTAATGAGTTGAACGTAAAAATTAAAGATCACTCGGAATCCTGCTTATCAAATCAGTTTGTTGTACGGCTATATTTAAAGCCTTTGTACAGTCTAAGAGACAACTCGAGAGCTTCCTTGGGAGGCTTGACTGCTGAGGAAACATGCTACAGTGTAAATCAGCTGCCTGCTTGTTTTCAGAGTATTTATTTTAGCTACAAGAAAGTTTACACAGCTGGTGGCACATTATTTTCTCGGAAATTAAATTGCAATATCTTAATCTTGTTTCCGTTTTTGCTGTTCCTGATTAGTTATATTGCCTTTTTCATGACACTTTATGAATGCTTTAAAACTCCTACAATTTTCCGCGTTACAAAGGAATTAATATTTTAAAATGGGAAAAAAAACATTGTCTGTTGGGCAGGGCGAGGCATATCTGTTCACATCTGATATTAATATCATATTGCTGGTAAGAATATATAACGAGTTTAGCTGTGGTGCTTAAAGCAACAGTCTAATTTGGGAGCAGAGATGATGTGAACTCATTTTTTAGAGCAGTGTTAATCCCAAGTGGTTTTAATTTCTTGATTTACTTTGCCTTTTAAAAGTATGTTATATTGAGAGAAATCTCTATGTCTCCGTGGCTAACTCTCTAGGATTTACTAAGTGTACCAGTGGTCTGGGGAGAAATTTCCCCTGCAAGGATGTTGTGTGTGAGTGTGCTGATTCAGCATCCTCTGCAAAATTGCAGAAGTGTCCTAGTTTTAGCAAGGTATTTTATTTGAAAAACTGTCTGGTTTCTTATTAGCTTGACTTCCCAGCTCCCTGGCAGTGGGGCTTAAAGACTTGGCAGCCTGTCTGGAGGGTTGATGGTGGGGGGTGGGGGTGGAGGGTGGAGCTCTACCTCCTAGACACTTAGGTGTTTCATCTTCCTTGCATTAACCAAGGAGAGACTTGCTGACTTGGACTTCTTTGTTTCCCATTCAATCCAATCTGTGTCCTGATAAAGAGGTTGGAGGCCTCGCTCCCCGACGGATGCCTCCAATACCACAAGTGCTTCTTGCAGCTGTGGAGATTGCTCCTCAGCAAGGGACGCCAGGACTTTCCCTTCCTTCTACTTAAACATGAGGGGTTTCCACTCCAGATGCAACTTCTAAATAACAGGCTCTTCTAGAAGCCTGCACCTTGCAGGCTCAAGTATCTCATATTTCTACGAGCGCTGCCTATGTCTCTGTCTTTTGAAAACTGGGCCAGAGTTAGTGCAGTTCAGAGAATAACAGTAGAAGCTTGTGAACAGAAACTTCATTTCTGCAGCCCGGCAACAGGAGTTCAAAGCAGAGTTTACATTTTTATCTTCAACCAGCCATTCAGCTGAGGTGCTTTGCATGCTCGATAAGTTTACCTTGACTGGTAGACTAAAAAGATAAATTTGTAGTTTACCTTTGATTGTAGACTGCAATCAAAAAGTGCATTTTTAAGTTACTTACTGGTTAAGGCTTCAAATATCGGAGTTGATGCAACTGTGTGTCTGCTCCATGCTCTTGACATTTCTAGTGCTGGGTTACCATATACTAGCCCAGCTCCAGTGTCTCTGTACCGAAAGTGCAGAGATGTCCCAAAGACAGTGTGGTAAAAACCCCTGTAGGGAATGCTGTTTACACTTACCGCAGCTCTCAGCTCAAAAACCTGTGTTTAGACTCTGATCTCCTCTCCACGGGGAAGTTAATTGAGGGGCCATGTGGAGAACTGCATCATGTGCTACAGATAGATTCTGCACGTCTTCCTGGAGAAAATAAGAGGTGGTGGCAGCAATCAAGCTGTCAGCTTCAGACTTCATGTAAGTGCCAAACTCAATTAAAGTTTTCAAAATTAAGGTAAAGCAGTGAACAAAGCCTCTTACACAGCGTTGGTTAAAAACAGAGTATCAGGGATCCTGCTGTAAGTGATAAAATCGGACTGGGCTTTTCCAGCACATTCTGACAATCAAACCTAAATGGATATCGAGTCTCTGAATTAAGAGCCATCATCAGTGTATCATTTCATTCAAGAAATCTTATTCTAACAGGCCCTGTCACTTTCTTAGTCTTGCGCTTGCTACACTTGGTTACCCAGCTGTTGATGAGATTGCTCAACTTGTAATGGAAGAACACTGGCTCTCAGCCCAGGCCGACTGCTAGGTTAGGCAGATGTCTAAGGGTAAGGATGCAAAATGGGGAATGGCCTCTGGGATTGACACCTAGTTTTCTTTGAAAATGCATTTATATTCCCAATAGTAATCCAGCAAATTTCCTCTGGCCTTTCATAGATAAAGGAGTTCGTTCTTAGCAGCATAGAAAATAGTTGGATTTTTAATGTAATGTTACTCTGCCATCTCCAGCAAGTGCTTCTCCCATATTTCTTCAAGTTTTACATACTTATATAGCCCCTGGTACCATGGTCTGTGAGGACCCGCATTTCTTTCAGGTCACTGGCCTGAGAGCAAGCTGGAGCTAGGGAAGCCTTGCTGCCACCTCCCTGTAGCAGATGTGGAGTTAACAGAGACCAGCTTGCCAAAGTCTGAGGAGAAGATTGAATCTTCTGAACATCTCAGCTCCTGCGCGGGCTTCCTTGCAGTGCCTGGTTCAAACAGCCAGCGAGCAAGCGCCTGGCAGTGCTAATGGGCGATGCCGCTCTGCAGAGTAATCTGACCAGACAATGACTAAAGAATTCTGACCAGAGAATCACAGCAAAATGCAGATTTCCCATGTGTAGGAGTTTAAGAAATGCTGAGATAACTTTGAGGAATTTGTTTTTTTGGGATGACTGGTTGTACCCTTTGTGCGTGGAATGGCATTCAGAGTGTTGTCCTTCACATCTCTTCAGATTCTTTTGGGAAGCTCATCCCCCCCTCCACCCCCCAACATCCATGTTAGGAAAAGCAAAGTATGAAACTGAACTGCTATCCCATCTGTCAGTTCATAAGGTCAGTGGGAAGACAGCCACATTTTTTCTCTTATCTACTGCCATGCCACATACATTTACAATGCTGTCAAAAGTTTGCGTATGTAGTGACCTAGTAGCCTCCCAGTGCCTGTTGAGAGATGCCCTGTATTGTCCTCTGCTTTGCTGTATTTCTTTTCTGAAGAGGACTACACCTTCCCCTTCTCTGGTATTTAAATAATGCTTACACAGAGTAGTGTCTAAAAGAGAACATAGAACTGTATGAAACTCTAGAAGACCTGCCAGATCTACAAGATAGTTAGACTGCAATGGGGATAAATAAAACAGGATGCAGGGTGTTTGGTTTATCTGTCACCATCCAGTATCCTCAGGGACCTGAAACATCCTTTGGGGCCAAATCTGCTTGTCCCCTAATTCAGAATGACTAAGTACCACAGATGATCTGTGAGTCATCTTTTGGCCGTGGAATCTGTTTTGTATCTTTCTTCTTTCATTATCTAAATAGCTTGGTAAGAGCTAAGGCCATTTCTTGATTGTGAGTCAGTGCACAAGCCACTCAGAATAATCCACACGCACAACAAACCCTGTGATTGCAGGCTGTGCTTCAGTCTAGAGGACGTGATTGTAGTGGTGCATTTCTTCAGCGTGATTTTTGAATGAATATTAAAACTTGTATGCAGGATAGCACAAAGGAGTAAACTGCAGGCGTGGTCTAGTAGGAGGACATGGGCTTGTGGGCAGGGGTTGGAAGTCTGAGCGTGCTTCGTTCAAAACGCTGCATCTGTCACTCTGCGTGGCAAGTCAAACAACCTCTGGGTCATTGCCTCCTCCTATAAAATGCACATAATGTAGTTTTAACACTAAGAAAGGCGGCAAAGAGTATCAAAACATTAAACCCAAGAAAGTCTGTAAGTAGCAAATTGGTGTCAGGACTTTAAGACATGAGCTCCAGTTGAATCATTTCCCAGTGGTTGTTGTATTTATAACTGCTTCCCCCCGCCCTGATTCTCTGAAGTCTAATGCCTGGGTGCTCTTGCAAATGCTTTTCTACAGTGAGGACCTATGGTACCTCCGTCTCTGGCTATTTTTTGCCTAAACTTGAAGGAACTGAATTATGGGTAAGATATCAAAAGTTCTACTATGTTTGTTTAAAAGCAGACAAGTGTTGTTACTAGTCAGATACTCTCAGAGAGGTCTTTGCTTAGCTGACATGTCCTGATGTTTTCTTTTCTAGTATTTTATCTGTGTGGCTTGTTCCAGGGTTTTTTTAGTAACAAGGAATTTGTTTTGCCAGTACATTTTGTTAATTTCTCATTTAACATCCTAACTAATGACATTAGTTTCACTTCTTTTTGTCAAGTCATGCTTCGACAAAGATGTCATTGAGGGTAGGTAGTGTTTTAATCTATTAAAACTGTATACAGCTATTAATAAACGTAAGAGGCAATAGAGGAGTGAGATCTGAGTACTATAAATTTTGATCCTGTCCATTTCTTTGCAGGGTTGTAGAGCACAGTGGGGTTTTTTTAACCTGAAAATTCTCATTGTATTTGTATCTCCACCTGCTGGAGGAAGAGGTGGTTGTGTGGACTGAGGCACATGGAGAAAACTAGAATTCAAATCTGCAAAGGTGCCAACACCCTGAAAGTTGGGAATTGAGGTGCAAAAGCTTACATTGTAGATACCACAAGCAAACAATTGGTATAATGTTGCTAGCTCTTGTAGTTGAGTATTGCCATATTTTTTCTCTTCAGTCTCAAACGGGAGTTAAGTGAGAGCAGAAGAATATCTGCTTTCATTTAGTGGTTTTTAAAAAAAAAAGAAGGAAAAAAAAAAGCGAGTGCTTCTCCAGAAGGCTCCGAAACAGACAGGAACAAAGTATTTAAATTCTAGGGTTTGGGTTTC